CCCTTCCCAGCTCCTCAGGAACTCTCCATTCCCTTCCCAGCTCCTCAGGAACTCTCCAGTCCCTTCCCAGCTCCTCAGGAACTCTCCAGCATGGTGTCACTTTGGATGTGCCACCAGGGAGGAAACGTGTCCTCTGCCGGTGGCACCGTGGGGATCTGCAGAAGCTTTCCTGGGAGCAAGAATCGAAGAGACACGTCAGCATTGGAGAAAATGGGGGTGAAAATCCCAGGGTGGATCCTGACCTGGGGCTGGATCAGGAGCTGTTCTCAGGGAATCACTGCAGCTCCACAGGCAGCACGGGGACAATCCCTGGGGAGGAGAGCTCCCAGCAGTGTCCCTGGAAGCACAGGGACAATCCCTGGGGAGGAGAGCTCCCAGCAGTGTCCCTGGAAGCACGGGGACAAATGAGGATCTCAGGAACTGGATATGCTGCGAGGAGGCTGCTCAGCCCAGGAGACTGTGGCACAAAGGGCTTGAGCACAGAGATGGGAATTTCAATTCACAGAGGTGGGAATTTCAATTCACAGAGGTGGGAATTTCAATTCACAGAGGTGGGAATTTCAATTCACAGAGGTGGGAATTTCAATTCACTGAGATGGGAATTTCAATTCACAGAGGTGGGAATTTCAATTCACTGAGATGGGAATTTCAATTCACCGAGATGGGAATTTCAATTCACTGAGGTGGGAATTTCAATTCACCAAGGTGGGAATTTCAATTCACCGAGATGGGAATTGAAATTCACCAAGATGGGAATTGAAATTCACTAAGATGGGAATTTAAATTCACAGAGGTGGGAATTTCAATTCACCGAGGTGGGAATTTCAATTCACCGAGGTGGGAATTTAAATTCACCGAGGTGGGAATTTAAAATCACTGCACGGTTTGGGTTGGGAAGACATTAAATCCCAGCCAGTGCCACCCCTGCCATGGCAGGGACACCTCCCACTGTCCCAGGTGGATCCAACCTGGCCTTGGACATTCCCAGGATCCAGGGGCAGCCCCAGCAAATCTGGGAATTCCAGCCCAGCCCCTCCCCACCCTCCCAGCCAGGAATTCCTTGCCAAGATCCCACCTAAATCTCTCTTCTTTTAGTTTAAAATCATTTCCCTTGTCCTACCACAATCTGCACGTATAAAAACTTGCTCTGTTTTTTTCATTTAGTTTTTTCCTAGTAAAGAACTGTTATTCCCATTCCCATAGCTTTGCCCGAGAGCCTTTTAATTTGGAAATTGTGGTAATTCAGAGGGAGGGGGTTTACCTTTTCCATTTCACAGGAGGTTCCTGCCTTCCTTCACATTCTCTTTCCAAACCAAGACACCAGTCCAGCAAACGCTGCCCGTTCCCAGCTCCGTGTGGTGCCAGGCTGGGAAGCAGGGCAGCAATCCCGATGGATGCAGGGAACTGGAGCTGCAGAGTAGGAACTGCCAGTGACTGAAGCAAGTTCTGCCATAAGAAGCGACTTGTGAAAAAAAAATACACATTTGCTGTCTTATTTTGCTGCTGATGATCTTAATTTTGCCGAATGTGTAAGATTCTTTAGCAAAACAAACAGCGCTCTTGGTTTTTTGCCACGCCATGAATTTTTAATGCTTTATTAGAGTGCTGCAGGGTTCCAGCCCAGTCTGTGGCTGCTTCACTGAGTGAAATCCTGCTCCATTACCTGCCCCATCTGGCCTGGCATGGAACAGCTGGGAATCCCAGCCCTGCTGCCAGCTTGCTCCATACAAACCAGGTATTCCTTGGGAAAACCCTCCCTGAAAGTTTCCTGCACCTTCACGCGCAGAGGTGTTTATTTTTGAAAAGGATTTTAGGGCTTTTTGTGACCAGAGAGGGTTTCTACTCCCTGGTGTGAAAAACACCAATCACTTGGCTTTTTTCAAATTTTTAAAAGTTTAATAATAATAAAACGATTATCAAAATGTAATGAAATTAGAGTAATAAAATCTAGAGTTAGGAGAATTACAAGACAACAAAAAGCAAAGAATTACGGACGTCCGGATGTTTTTGGACACTAAGTCATGAAAAGCATGCCTTGTGGACAAAGGAATAACCTTAAAAGCAACAGCCTGTTTCATACTCATATATCTCATACATGAGGCATAAATTCCTTGCAAATTAAGAAATTTTCTGGTTTTTGTCAACAGAGAGAAGCTGGAAGAATGTTTGGGTTTTTTTATAAGGAGACTAACTTTTTATGGGCCCCCTTCACTGACATCTCTGTGTGAAGAGTTTCTTGATTATCTCATCTTCGAGCTTGTAACAAATTCTATATTGCAGAGTTTCTATTTTAATGTTATGCTGTAACCTAAAACTACATTTATCACACTGATAGTAAAAAGGTTTTAAAATCATGGGGATTTAGGGTTAAAAGGAAAATTAAGCTTAGTGGGCCCTGAAAAAAATACCCTGGGAACATGTAGGGCTTGTACCTTGCTAGAACTGCACCTGTGTAGCTAGTATGTGATAAATTATATAATTGTTAGATGTGATGATTGTTTAGTAATTAAATATAATTACTGTTTAATCGTAAGAATAATCACGAGAAACGGTGGTCAGAAGCTTGAGAAAGATCAGGAGAAACTCATGTCAATGTATACAATAGAACAATATAAGTTTAATAATTAATATGTAAGTGATATAAGGATAGAATATAAAATATGTTCAGCTTGAAAGCTGTGCAGGTTTGGGTCTGTACCCCTGATCCCAGAGCTCTCAATAAATGCATATAATCCACATATAATCATATCCTGTGCGCTCCTGAACGCTAAATAAACTACTTAAGAGAATTAATACAGAATCACTTTCTAACATGACACATGCAACATTCATTGTAACATTTGCGAAAAGGCAAAAATGAAATAAGGTGGAGCGGCAGGGCTGGGTGCCAAAGCCGGGGCTGCAGAGGGAAAGGGAATTGTGTCCTGAGGGAGCGGCGGTGGGGACAACAACAGGGAATTTACACCCCGGGGGGGGAAAAATGTGGCTTTTAAAGCGTTAAAATTTTTATTTAAAAACATTTGGGAAATATGTACATGGAAAAATCGTAACGGGGGGAAGGCCAAGGGCGGCCGCGCTGGGGGCAGGGACGCAGCCGCATTATCAGACCTGGTCGTGCTGGCGCTCGTAGCCGGTTCGGATGCCGGTCCCGTCGCTGTTCCGGGTCCCAGGCTCGTTCCCGTTCCCGTTCCCGGTCCCATTCCCGGTCCCGGTCCCATTCCCGGTCCCGGTCCCATTCCCGGTCCCGTTCCCGGTCCCATTCCGGTCCCATTCCCGTCCCGCTCCCTCACGGACGCCGCCTCCCCTCACAGCGGCCGCAAGGGGGCGCCCCGCCGGCCACGCCCCCCGGCCACGCCCCCCCCGAGCGCGCAGCGGCTGACCAATCAGAGGCGGCGGCGCTGCCCGCGCGCTCCCAGCGCCCATTCACCGAGCGGCGCGGTCATGAATGGGGCGGGTCACGTGGGCAGGCGCGTTCCCACGCCCCCTCCGCGGCGTTCCGGGATGGAGCGGGCACCGGGAGCGGCACCGGGAACGGCACCGGGAGCGGCACCGGGAACGGGACCGGGAACGGCACCGGCAGCGGCACCGGGAACGGCACCGGGAGTGGGACCGGGAACGGCACCTGCAGCGGCACCAGGACCGGGAGCGGGACCAGGACCGGGAACGGCACCGGCAGCGGCACCGGGAGCGTCACCGGGAGCGGGGCGCTGGGCCGCCACGGCCTGCGTGATCACCGGCGCTTCCCGCGGCTTCGGGCGCAGCCTGGCGCGGCTGCTGGCGCCGCAGCTCGGGCCCGGCTCGGCGCTGCTGCTGCTGGCGCGATCCGCGGCCGCGCTGGCCGAGCTGGCGGCGGAGCTGCGCGCCGGGGCCACCGGGAGTGACACCGGGAGTGACACCGGGAGCGACACCGGCAGCAGCGAGCTGCGGGTGCTGTGCGTGGCCGCTGACCTGGGCTGCCAGGAGGGGCTGCGGAGGGCGGGCGCTGCCCTGCGGGAGCTGCTGCAGGACGCGTCCTTCGGCCGCCTGCTCCTGGTCAACAACGCCGGTACGACACGGCTGAACCCTCCTGTCCCCCTCCTGTCCCCTCCCGAACCCTCCTGTCCCCCCCTTGTCCCCCCGTGGTCCCCTCCTGTCCCCCTCCCCCCCCCTCCTG